TCAATAAGCTTCCAATGCAAATGCGGTTCATTTGTATTTGAATTGATGTCCTGTCCCCATTAACTTATGCCTTTAATGCATTCTGGTACATTAGTAAATAGACTTGCTGGATTAATCATTAGTTCATTGGGATCATTTGCTTTCCTTGTGCTTAATCGAATCTCTGACATTGGTAATAAGGGCAGACTTCACCGGCCTCCATGGAGACTACCTTATATTTTCTTTCACTATCATATTGTAGTTTTCTGGTGGAAAAAAAATAGTTGTAAATGTTCAACTTCTGTTTTGATTTATAATTTGGCAATGTTACTTTGACATCTTTCTTCTTCTACTTCTTTCGATTCTCACTTTTTCTCCGCAATCACCTTTCCTTTTGCAGATCCTGATAATTGATGGTTCTTTTGTCTCAAGCATAAAACCTCTGAACAAGGTCCATGAGCATTACTTATTTAGTTCTAATTAATTGAAGTTTACCTGGTTGAATTTAATATGAGTTTGCTATGTCAGCTTAGAAGAGGACTTATGGCCTGAGTAAGTGTCCTGATTACATTAGATACTTTTTGCAAGTTTACAGTTGACGGGTATAAAAGAAAATGTATTTAATTAGACAAAATTAAAATTAAGTGAATTTTATATGCAAGTCAGGCTATGGAGCAAAGGGTGTGTTGGATTGAAGCAACTCCAAAAAACATTGAAGTGTGAATACAATTTAGCGATTTTTTAAACTTTCTACACATAGTTTGGTAGGTTAAAAAAAGTGTGATAAGAATTAACAGACTTCGTATATTTGACAGACTATTAAGGCGATCAGTTTTTTTTAAAGCAAAATCTATATTACATTGTTCATTAGCTGTTAATTCAACATGCTGTGACTTGAGCCAACAATGGGCTGAGTGACTTATGAATACTCTAATGGTTAAAGCAAGAGAAGCCAACAATTTCATGGCTGTTTTTTTTTTTGTTATCAGAGTTTAATATATTGCAATACATGCCCCGTGCCCATTTTGAGTTTTGTGATGTGCTCTCAGTAAATAGGACCAAGATCCATTCTGTGTGAGGGACATGACCTGGAATACCAACATCATGCAGTAGGATGCTTAACAGTTCCCTTGTGTTGATTGATATAGCTGTACGTCTGCTGCTGATGTTTTTAAAACAATTAGACACATAGCTAAGATTTCTGTTTTTTGCACCAGTTGCTGTAAAACAGATTTCTGTCTGTGTTTTCTTGCAGTCATTTATCAGCTAAGGAATTGTGTGCATCTACAAGAGTAAGAGGAGCCACTAAGAACTGCTTGACATTTTCTGCACAAAGAAGTCCTTTGAAAAGGTATCCTCAACCTAACCTACCCCAAGAAGCAGTTATGTGCTCCTTTTGTTTTCTCACCATCCCTAAAATGCATCCATCTCCCTAATGGGTATTTTTTTCAGAAGAACATGTTTCAGAGTATTGCAACAGCAGGCAAGGAGGATCATGGACAGAGTCGGGACACACAGGCCTTTAAAAAGCAAGATTAATACCCCGGCAAAGATGATCTCATAGTTAAGTGTTTTCTGTTGTATTTACACATCCGCCCAGGTTGTCAGGCTTGTGCCTGTCTCTGAGAAATGGAACCGACACATCGTGACACTAATGCATCACTGAAAATATTTGAAATGAAAAAAAGCTCATGCTACAGCGAGCCAACGAGAGACATTGCAAACACTCCATTTGACATTGACACAATGGCGCCTCTGCTCAATACAAATACTGTTATTCCCTCCCAACCAACGTCTCTGTTCTTCCCTTTGATGGAGGAGTCACGCAGAAGAAAATCTGCTGCACTCGGAGCAAACTAATGACATGTATTAATGACATTAGACTATCCAATTCAATGCTTTAATAATTGATAATAAGGGATTGCCCGATTTGAAAGGGACATTTTGTGTGAAAAACGATCACATTAATTGAGGTTTAATTCAAATCTAAACTGTCAAAACACCCACCTTTTATTAAATCTGTGTTAAATTTTAACCATTTCACAGGAAAAACTCACATGTTGGTTTTATCGTATGGCATGGTCTTTAGCTTTTTCTAAACATAATTAGGTATAAGTGTACATAAAACACATAGTTCATCAAATAAAAACAAGGTCAAAAAGGAGAAGCTGCAGGTTACAAACTTAAGTCCTGTTTCTATAGAATTTAAGAGCAGAAGCAGCAGCCTGGTCCTACAACTCAAATACAATTCATTAAATGTTCATCAAGAAGTGTGACAACTTCTATAAAAACAGGTGTTTTAGCAGTTTGCTGGTGTGGATCAATGTTCTTCAGCCATTATTTTCCCAGCAATAAGAAAGTGCACTATCCCATTTACCTCTGAGTGAATTTCCTCAAGATTCTCAACTTTCTTTGTGGGGTTTAAATTACCCACAGGCCAGAGATTGTCTGCCATAACCTTGTGATACTTTTTAAAAAAGGGTTTTTACCATTTCACTATCTAACCTTTTTGCTAAACCCTACAACTTCTCAAAATGTTCTAGCACTGTTGTTAAAGAGATTACTATGCGTTCCAGTGAAGTGTATGAAGGGTTAGTGGCTGATCCCACTTGGATGACGGGTTAGATTGCCTAATGGCAGTAAAAATGTGACCTCGATTCTTTTTTATCTTCCATAATAACAAAGTAAAATAAGGTTTAAAGAGAATTCATGTATACATAGCAGGAAATGGATTTTTCAATCAGATGATGCTGCCCTCAGTGTTCAGAGCTAATCAGACTGCATTGTGGTAAAATGACTGGTTGGGTCCAAACCTTTCACCTCTGCTTCATAAATGTACATGAAGGCTGTCCAAAATTACAGGGTTTTTGGCCATTTCATGAGAAATCAAATGTAATAGCTGCTCATCTGTTAACATAAACACCTCTGAACACTCAACCTACACAACAGCATACACATAAAGACTATTATTTTGGTTATGATCACTTTGTATGTCCTTTATTATTATGCAGCATCACTGCTAGGGTGAATGGAAAATCCTAATCTTATACAGCTCTCACGAATTTGAGGCCTTCGTGTGACAAAGTCTTTGCAGCAAACAAATTCAGTTGTGAAATCTTTGCAGGTGACAGTGATGTGTATGGCTCAAAGGACCACTAAACATTGAAGGGAAGCACAGTTGCACAGCATACTAAACATGCAAGCGATTTTGATAAATAAGAATTGAATTGAGTTTCAGCTGTGACATGTTGATTGATCAAAAAGCTCATGGCTAAGGCCTCCCTTCTCTCCTGTCTTATTTATCCTTTGTCAAATGGTTTTAAAATCAATACTAGCCTTGTACACAACCTTTTCTGCTGCGGGCACTCGAGGAGGACTAAAAAAAAAAGAAAGAGGAGAAAAAGAAAAACACCTGCTCTCTGGGTGATCGTTACTAATTTTTCCTGTCAAACATGTGAACACAGAGTAATTATTTTCTGTGTGGTTTCAGGGCATAGCAGATTATTGTACAATCCATTTAGATAACTTCTGAGTGGGCCTGGAAAATGAAATCGCCCCAAACCACACAAGTCAGACAGGAGAGGTGATCTATCAGTCGCTGAGGCGAATAACTCAACTTAAAGATGTCGTGCCTTGGATGAGCCGGATTTTTCCGTTCGAGAGTAAAGGAAGCATAGCTCCTTGTCACACTGAGACTTAGAAGTTATTTTTATTTTGGTCTTGAGCAGAGATGCAGCATTTTACAGAGTTGCTTGATATCTTGACAGGAGCTACGCAAGTAAGCTTACTTGATCTGGGTATAATGTTATCATCAAAAGTATTTATTTGACCCTCATAACATCCTTATGTGAAATGAGTAAGAATTGTATCATAGGTCTTTTGAAGCATTAAAACAATTGTGGAAAAAAATAAATTAAATTCAATATCAACACTGCACAAATTAAGGAAAACAAAAATGTACCTTAGGAAATCCGTTAGTCAAGAGAACTAAAACTAAATGTGACCAAAGGCCTTCTACCCTTCTCACCACTCTAAAAACTGTGCACCTACAGTTGAAAACTTGGTTTACATACATCAACACAAACAATTGTTTCTACACATATGCTCAACACATGGTGTCTGTTTATCTTCACAGGGGCTTTGCATTTATTTCCATACATTTTTAATTATTTCTACAACCTAACTGACTCTTGCACTAAACCCTAGATAGTACATACTGTACCTAATGCTAACCTAAACCCAATTTACACCTTATTTCTAAACCTAACCACAAAACAGCACTTCTTTTTATGTGCCCTGGGCTTTTGGCCCCACAAGGAGCAGTGTGTACTCACAACATAGGTATTTGTTGGAAAAATGGGCCAAACAAGGTGCTAAATGCTAACATACACACAGGCCAAATGGTTGAAGGTCACACAAAAAAATACAGGATGCTGTTAGTGTTACTTCATTGTTGCCTGCCTACTTTGATGCTTCATGCAGTCTGGATTAAGCTCAATCACGCAATTAAGATACCATCTTAAAATATTTTTTGTAGCACAGATCTCCCCTGGCACATGTAGACAACTGTAGCACTCATCTAATGCACTTGACATTAATGAGGTAGTTAGTTCTTTAAATACCTTCAGTACTGAGCCCTCCCACCACAAACTGTAGAAAGAAACCCAGAAGTCTAATGTCAATAGTTACTTTACTAAGTAAGTAAGTTTGCCTTCATTCATGCACAACCTCATTAGAGATACCTTTGGCAGTCAGAACAGAGCTTAGGTTAGAGATAAGGTCAATGTGTGTCGTACTCAGCAAAATGACCAAAAGCTTCAACGAAGTATACGACTGTTTACTTGTTGATAAGTCAAAAATTAAAACTTATACCACTTGGCAGTTGTGTTTCAACTTAAATCTTAAATCAAAGAGTACTTTTAGCCAATCTAAAACAAAGGGGAAATTCAAGTCGGCATCTGACAAAGATTCAGTTCAGTTCATTAAAGGCCCGAGTGAAGTGGGAGCGTTTTTCCACTTACCCGATGAACGTCCCTTGAAAGAAATGACCCCAAACTCCTGACAGCATCCGGGAAAAAACGTTCTCACCGCAACCAGTACGGTTCCATCAGAACTTCTTCCTTCGAGTTCCGATAATCCGCACCGAGGTCTCCACTCTTTGCATTGGCAAGCCGCCAATGCTCCAGCCAAGTCCCGCGTTAGCCGCTGAGCTAGCTGATAGCTAAACTAGCTCCCTCTCAGTCGAGTTCGTCACTCACACCTTTCCACAATTCCGTCAGGTTCACAGAAGAATCCTGTCCGCACATTTTCACCTCACGAACACAAACGAAGTTCATGCGAGTCAATATGAGTTTCACTTTACACATCGGCAGCTCACTCCTTTCCTCAGGCCAACCTCTTACTCCTCTTCTCTTCTCGCCATCGTTTTCCTTTACTTCCGGTTTCTCTTTCTTCTTCTTCACATACCAGAATCTGATTTCAAATAAACTTGAACCACGCATACGGGAACTACCACAGACACTTCTCCAATCATTAAAGCAGTTTCCATCTAATCATAGATTACAGTTACATATTATATAATACAAATATTAACAAACAGCCATTAAATTCCTAGTATAATATATTTGCTCTCCTTGTCAGGTGTATCAGTTTAAATGAAAATCTTTGTCTTGATAAGCCTGCAGCTATCATTACTCTCTAGATGTTTCAAAGTTTGTCAAATTGTTTAATAGCCTAACCTTCTCATAAACATTTCCACAACCTGTCTGCTAAGATTCTTGATCTTCTTAATGCTCTGATGTTCTCTAACAAACCTACCAGGCCAGGCCTTCACAAAACATCTGGATTTATACTAACCATTACAACACATTCCATTACGATCAGGTCAAACATTAGTAATAAATAACTATATGACTTCAGAAAGCAATTGGAAGCATTAGATTTTCTAAAGAGGTTTTAGAGTAAATAAGACTGAATACAAATGTGCTCATTTTTTTTATTTATAATAAGTTTTACTATTTGTGTAATATGTTGGCAGTTACATAAAATCTCAGAAGTTAACATATGTGGTTATAATGTTTTATCTCAAACTGAATGCTATTTATAGCAACAGCAAAAGGTCATGTGTGATTTGAATTTGAACTTCAGTACCTGTCTGAGACATCCGTCACTTAAATAAGATCACTGAAATTCTTTGTGCTCCTTTCTCTATATTAAACACAGATAGACAGATAGAGGTGCACATTTAAAGCAAATGTACTATTTGAAACAATTTACTATTATTGTTTGATTTGTTTTTTACTTAAAAGACTAAATGGCACCATAGTGAAGGAAAAGGGAAAAGCTTACGTACCTGTTTGACCTAATCAAGTCTAACTGTACACAAGTGGGATCCTGCGTGACATGGACAAGATGGCCCCTTAGTCATTCATGCTTCTCCCCATTTGTTTGGGTAACTGTCGTCTGTTCTGCATCCACGTAAAAACAAAGCAGAGAAGCACTTATGAGTAAGTGTTCTCCCTCCAGAGCTGGCAAGTAACTGAGCCAAGTGTTTACAAAGAGAGCTGGACATTTATGAGCCGTTTACAAGACACTTGATTCAAGTAGAATGACTTGTCTCAAATTTTTAATGATCTTATTGAAATTAAATTTGAGACCATGCCACAGTTTTACTATTAACCTATCCATGACTGCCTCTACAGCTGTAACCTAAGCCCAAATTCTACATTTTTCCATTCACTCCCCATACTCCATTGCTACAGGGAAGGAAGGGAATGTTTATCAGATAGGGGTGACTCTGCCCTCGAGCCCTACTCTGAACACAGCCAGGACAGTCAGATGATTTGTAGCATGCTGGGCATATACAGGCTTTTAAATGAATTTCTTGTTTCATTTTTGAGCCAGTGGAAACTCAGACTGTCTGATCCTCCCTAAACAATGGGTTAAAGAACTGTAGCAGCTGTACTTGGTGAAGCAGTTTGTTCAGGTGTATTGGGACACATCAACACAAATGTAAAGCTTAGGATAACTGTTGGAGTCTTACCATCAGACTGAAAGTAGAATGAGTTCTGGGTTTATTGCAGCTGATATTTATAATAGAGGAGGAAGGGAATCAAACCCAGTTATTTAGACAGCTGGGGACATTTTATTTTCTCTCTTTGAAACGTCAGTTGTGTGGAACCATTAGGGAGGAAGCTCCAGGAAGTGGCTCTCCATATGCTGCACAATTAGTCAGGATGGGAGGCAGGCCGAGCCAAACCTTGTTATGCCCTGGTCAGCACACGTAATTATCATTGCTTTGGATATCCATTACAGTCCAGTTGATGGGAGTGGGCAGTTCGTGAGAGAGAAGATAGGTTTTAGTAGTTTATGCACTTGCTCCAGCATCAAAAGATACGTTATGTAGCAATTGGCTAACTGTAACCATAAACAGAAATGTTCAAAAATAGTTTTCTAATTAATAATTATATCTTTGAGTATTTCCTTGCTGGTGACAATTGAGTTTTGTTCTGTCCATGTTCAACTGGAAACTCATCATGACATTACATGACGACATCTCACCCTCCCTTATTTGGTCATGGGAACAAATTATCATTTCTTAATTTAACAAATAATATATTTACATATTATCTACTTGCAATTCTTAAGCAGCAGATATCCTACATATAAATGTTTTATCCAATTAACATTTACAGTTGCTGCCTCTACTGCTGAAGTGATGTATTTCCATTTTTTCCGTATTCATCACAAACATTTTTAAACAAACAAAAAATGGGGCCTGTTGTTCAAACAAAAGTCCAATGTCTGCTGAGCCTGTTGAGCTTTACAGTAAATAGATACTGTCACCAGGGGTAATTTTCACTGTTCTTACGTATATACATTACTGTCAAAAGCTTTATTTTGTGAAAAAAGGTTTATTTGGAAATGTTTCTTCAACCTAAGTTTGCTTTGCAAAGTTTTATTTTATGTATTTGATCTCTTCAGAGATTGGTTCTGCATTAGCTTTTATTTGCTTTATGTAAAGATGAACTGCATGGCTCTCCACCGCAGCAAAAGACAGATTCAGGTTTCATCTGTAGTTTTCACAAAGAGACTTATTTCAGGAAGAAATTCCATGTTCAATTAGTGGACTTGATTATTCATTTGAGAGCCATTGATTATAGGCGACGTGTTGTCAGCATCCTCATTATTCCCTTTGGAGGATAAGAGTTCTTTGTCAAGATGCATGATGAGTCGATGATGTGTACCTCTTAGCGGTATGACATCTTCATCCATCATGGAAATTTTGGATCTCTCAATCTCCATTCCCTTAGCGCTCAATCACGCCTTCCTCAGCGACTGACAGGCGGCCACTGTAACATGCAGGAGGAGCAGCAGATGAGCTCTTCATTAATGAAAAAATAACACATCAAACAATACAAATGGGTGCAAAGAAGTGAGAGCACTTCAGAAATGCCCAGATAATTAGACTGTCCAGCAGCAGATTGATGGATGCACTATAATTACCTTTGTGTTATTATTTCAGGGCTAGGCAAAAAGGAAAAGCTGCTTTGAGTTGCACCGATTCATTAATCTCATTAATGTGTGGAATAAATATCATTTTATCAGACATTCCAGAGGTGCCGCTGGTGTGTGCGGTTAGAGCCACGATTCAGAACTGTCAGCAAGAGCATAACACACTGTTAGTTTATGGTTTCAAGTCACAGTATAGCTGAAAAGCCCACCGAGACCACGGGTCACTAAGCATGATCATGAAACAACTGCAAAAAGAAAATTTCTCTTGCAGGTGCCTCAGCGTTTTACAAATTGACCACTTGAACTGACCACACCCCAAAATCCGGGAGACAAATTGAATTAATTTTTAGTGCAGCGCTTCTACGTTTTGAGCCACTAACGTAGAAGTGGCTCAAAACTGTAATCTCTATGGGGGTTACAGTTAGCCAACCTGAGGGATCATGCTGTGCTTTGCTAATTTAAAGGTAGATATACATGTATTAACTATTTTGCTCAGAACAAATATTTTATTTGCCGTTTTTCTCAGTTGCTTTGGTGCATTTCTCAGAACAGAATTGAAATTCTGAAAACTTGTTCAATATTCAAATCAATTTCTCACTTGTGCACAATAAAAAAAGCAGTTTCCTGTCCCTTTGAGAAAGTTGCAAACGCCGTTGTACATCATTCAAGTTAGTATGCACAATTCTCAGATTTTTCCTATATTTTCAATTGCTTATCTCATGTTAATCAGAATATATTATACCGATGTCTGTTGAACTGTCTTGACCTTCACAAGATTTGAGAATAATTTCACTGTCTTAGCATGCTAAATGTTTGAGCAAGTTGTTAAACATATTCTTATTCATTTACGTAGATTTTTTTTAAAGTCTGTCCTGAACTGACAAATTGCTCCCACATAAATTTCTCCAACAATGTGTGAACCAGAAGATAAACCAATGATCAACCAGTTTTCTGAAGTATATTGAAGGTGTATTCCATGAACCATTAACTGGCAAGCATATAGTATAGAGAACAACATAATGTTGCATTTCTGACAATGAAGATAAATGGTTCCACCATCACGGACTGCATTAACTGATTAGTCTAATAAAGAAATGAATACAAAAATTTGGGCTGAGTGAAAGCAATGTAAGCTTGATGGTTGCTATTTTCAAAAGGTAATTTTAATCTGACAGTTTCATTGGAGCACGTGTTCTAATTTACTGAATATCTCTGTACAATCATTTCCCTGACCATGCCATTGCTGGGGTTGCTGACAAGAAACACTCTATGCCCCCCCCCCTCTGTTGTAGATGAACAACCTCAACAACATCATGTCCTATCGCCCTGCAGGTGGTTCAGTTTGTCAATGAGAGGAAATGGGATCTTTACACCCAATTTGAGGTGAAGTGACTCAGAGTTTACTTGTAGGATATCCCGTGACCCCGGTATAATGACTTCCAGACTGCAGGTGGTCCTGTTCTTGTGTGGCAGTGATGGGACTCCATAAACAGACTTAATCACATTTTCTGTCTACCTTGTCTGGCTCTTTTGCGGTTGATCATTTTTCTATATTTCAGCGCATATCTTTTTTTAACTAACATGTTAAGTGATATTTGACTAGCCCCTTGTCCAGGTGTTAATGCATCACATTAACATTTCTTGTTGAGTTTTTCCTGTCAGCAATCAGCTGATCGTATCATTTTCTGTAACTACTGTATTGTGATTTCTAAAGTACATTTAACTAAATAACAATTATTGAGTAAAATGTATTTACTTCTGCAAACCCAGACCCATAAGAAAAGGAAAATTCTTTGTATTTTACTGATGAATAAAGAACTATCTTTTCATAATACTAAAAGTTTTGTAGATCTTGGGTGTTTATGACAATCTTCGCCCTATTTTGCACTAAGAATCATAGCAAGTAATGCAGCTGTCGCAGAA